CGATGGCCCAGGCCTTACAGACAGGGGCTCCTGCAACGGCCCAAAGACCCCCCGAGAGTACTCACGACTGCCGCACGAGGCCCCACGAAATTTCCAAGAGACGTGCCACCCGAGAGACCCTTTGAGGCCAAACTGATCGTTGCAACACCAACCAGAAAAGCGTTGTGTCGTGTGTTGTTTCTTATGTTTTTCAATGCTTTTCGACTTGAGTTTGGCACTGGACGGTGAGATCCCCAAGCCGGTCCTGGAGGATCCAGCAAGTCCCCTAAACAACGACTCAACAACTTCCCGAGGCGGCCCAAGGCCGCCCCAAGAGGACTCAAGGACGGCCACAAGACCCGACCAGACCGCCCCAGAATGGCTCCACAGGTCCGCCCTGGGAGAGCTCAACAGGGTCGAGAGCTGGCGGCCGAGACGGCCCAGGGCGCCCAGAAGGCCTCCGACAAGCCCCCCAAGTGCTATCACAGCAGTCCCAATGTGCCCTTCTGAGACGCACGTGCAGCAGCAGACGACGGATGCAACATGGGAGATCGTGGCTCGAATATCCATCCGACTTGAACTTGGTGTCTAGTCATATAAATCCGAGCGATGGGAAGCGATGGGCGGGATGGGTAGGATGTCATGTGTGGTGTGCGGGCGCGTCTCTCCTGCCCCTCCCTCCCCCCGCCCCGCTCTCTTCTCCTGCGTCCAACCTGTCCCCCCTCCCGCTTCCCCAACTTCCCCTATATCCCACTGGCTCTCCCCGATTCCTGCTGCCTCCCTTCTCCCCACAAGCCCCCCTCCCCCTGGCACTCCCGTCCCTCGAGGGAGGGCGCGTTGAGACAACGGCGGGCCTCCACCCCTTCCCCAATCCGCTCCACGTCTGTCCCCGAGCCCCTGGCCAGGGCCCATTCTGACCAGCTCTCCGGGGCGGATCCCGCCGTGGCGAGGAGAAGCCTCCAGGAGGCCCCAGAAGGACCGAAAACGCGGGGGGGCTGCCGCTGCCTCGACCGGCCCTCCTCACAGTCCCCCCTCCCCCTCCACCCCCTTCTGTGGCAGCTCATGGGGGCCTCATCTTGCTGGCTCTTGCGAATCGGCGCTACTCGACGCTGAATCGACGCTGAATCAGCGCTTTCCCACTGATTACCAGACGCCGGCGCACGCTCATGCGCTCGAAAGACGGAGCTGCGATGACAACACAGAGTGCTCCCACGAGCTGCTGCCTCGCCCCCGCCCCCTCCCCCGCGGGCCCGTCCTGAAGCCGCCTGCCCGAACGGCACAGCCCAGGGCACGCCGCGCTCGCCCGCGGCGTGGAGCGCAGCAGCCCGAGGGCTGCTCCTGCGGGCTCTGAGGCTTGGCAGGGGGGGGGGCGGCGAGGCAGGCGATCGGAGGAGGGCCACTCGAGACAACGGCGGCCCTCCCTCACGTTTGCAGGTCCCCTTCGGGTCTCCTGTAGGCTTCCCGTCGCCACGGCCGGATCCGTCTCGGAAGACGGGCCACATGGACCCCCTCCAGGGGTCCGGGGGCCGGTTTTGTGCGGATGTGGGCCGGGCGGGAGAGCCACCGTTGTCTCACGCCCTCCTCCGAGGCGAGGGGGCGGAGGGCTGCAGGCAGAGAGCTCTCCAGCTGTGATCGCGCAGTGTCTTACTCTGCCCGTCTCCAGAACGTGTCCGACGACGTCCAGGTTCGAACTTCGGACCAACGACGGAGGTGGGGAGAGGGCGGGGATGGAGGGGGAAAGGGAGAGGAGGGGCAGGAGGAAGAGAAAGAGCAGGAGGAAGTCGCTATCTGCGGGAGCTCCCCCCCCCGCGCCCGACGAGGGGCCGCAGCAAGCCCCCCACGCACGACGACGAGGGCGCCGCCTGGCAGCGCGCCGCCATGGCCGAGGAGCCCGCGACACGCCTCGAACCAGCAGCCGTAGCGTGGCACCGGTAGGACGCGCTCTCGCAGCGCGTGGAGCCAGACCTCTTCAGCAGGACGATCTTCAGCTACAACTTCGCGGATGACGGGACCCACGATCTCTTGGCGAAGGCCGCTCAAGGTTCGCAGAAGGGCAGGCAAGCCCGCGGGCGCCACTTGACGCACACGAAGCTGGCGGAACAGGCGCAGATCATTAAGAAGCTAATTACATGACAAGATCCACGACTGGAACAATTGGTGGTACAAGGAAGGCCCCTCGAAAGAGGGGGACCTAAGGCGCCACCAGGGGTGCTGGGCCAAAGGGCCCGAGGGGGGGAGGACCCGGCAGCAGCTAAAAGAACAGAAGGGCCCACGGGCCCAAAGACCGCAACCAGCTCCCCGTCAACGCTGAGGCCGAGGACTACATCCCTAGTCTCGTGCGCGGCGTCATCATCCCAGACATGAGCGAGGGCCAAATCAAAGATGCCACCTACATCGCTGAGGAGCCCAGGGACACCGCCGAGGAGCCCAAGGAGGCCACCAACCCCGCCGAGGAGCCCAAGGAGGCCCCAAGGAGGCCACCCACCTCGCCGAGGAGCCGCCGCCGCCCACGTCCCCGGCCTTCAGCGCGGGGCCCGGCCTGGGGTCGCGGAAAAGGCCGGCTCAACGGAGGCGAGAGCCTGCCGAAGTCCCACCACGAGGCCGAGCTGTTCGCGGCTGTCCTCGTCGACGACGCTGGTCATGACAACATAGAGCTCAAGCTTTTGAGGACGGCTGGATCATCCGCCTCGTGAACTGCAAGATCACGAATACCAACGTCAGAAACATCCCCAATGAACCGAGGAAGCACACCTACACCTTCCACCACAACGGCGGGCTGCTCAAGCTGCAGGAGGACGCGGCTGCCTTCGAGCATAGCCTGTGCAACCTCCGCGCGCAGCTGCCAGAGGAGGAGGGCCGCCTGCGGCCAGAAGCGCAACTGCGGCCACAATGACGCTAACAGGACCCACGCCTTCGGCATCGCAGCCCGCCAGAAGCGGGACTGCCTCATCGTCGTCACCCCCTCGAAGGCGAGCGTTCCCCCCGTCCACTGGGGCGAGGGCCCTGGCGGCATTTCAGGACCCCGGCGTGCGCTGGGCCCACGGTGGCAGCCGCCCAAGGGGGGGAGCGGCGGGGCCCCGAAGCCCAGGCCCTGGGCCGCCGGCGCGGTACTGCACGCACCCGCCCCTTGAACAGGGACCGACCGTCCCACGACATGTTCTCAGAACAAGCAGACGTTCCAAGAGAACAGCCACTGTTCTTAGAACGGATAGCCCATGCATGCGAAGAACTTGTCAGCCAGAAGAGTCCTAAGAGCCTTGCGCTCAGACCACAGAAGTTTCTCAGAACATTCATTGGCGGGCCTGTGGGCAAGCCGGGACCCTTCGCCGCTGCTTCTCTCCCCCCATTCGTCCTTCGCTGGCCCCGCCCGTCGGAGCGGTGGCCGGCCCATGCTCGGAATAGCTCCTCCTGGCGCGCCAGACGGGGCCGCCAAGCGGGAATGGCTGCGCCGTTTCACGGATCCACGGGCCACCAGCAACAGCAACAGGAGGAGGAGGAGAGGAGAGGGGAGGAGAGGGGAGGCAATGAACGAGGGGGCAGGGGAGGGGAGGCAGTGGAAGAGGTGGGGGGGAGAGGGGCGGGCAGAGGGGAGGGAGGGATTGAAAGACGCGAGAGAGGAAGGGAGAAGGGAGGGGAATAGAGAGAGGGCAACCCAAGCCAATGTTCTCATCTGTGCCTTGGCGGGCAGATTGCCATCGACTGAGTTCCATGTTAGCCAGCGTGGGCCCCAAACAATGATGTCTTCAATCTATGCGGTGCAATGTGGTGCAGTATGTGGTGCAATCATTGTGGTGCATTCGATGTGGTGCAAACCGATGCAATGCAATGCACAACCATGGAAGGCAATGCAAAATGTTGAAAGGCAATGCGCAGCACTTCAAATCAATGCGAAACAACATTAAGCAATGCAAAGCAAAGCACGCCAATGCTATGCGATGATATACGATGCAAAGCAAGGCGAAACAATGCAAACCACTGCATGACAATGCGAAGCAAAACAACTCAAAGCAATGCAACGTAATGCAATGCAAATGGATGCATAGCAATGCAGCGCGCCTTCCCTCGCGCTGTTAAGGATCTCGCTCTGAGCCGAATGAAACTCAACCGCTAGCCTGGCTTGGCTGAATCCAACTGCACCTCAAGAAAGCCCACCCCTCTGGTCGCTGCGGTGAGGTCGAGCCTCCCGCTAGGAGGCCCTTTGGTTTGCCTCTAGCGACCGTCAGCTTCAGTGCCACAGGAAAGGCTCCAAGCTAGCTCTGGTTTTCAATGAGTTTGTTGTCCGTGCGACATTGCGCATGCAGGGAGCAGATTGTCGCTATGAGCTAGAAACTGACTGGCCCAGGCAATCCATGCAAAGGAAGGGAGGGACGGGCAGAGGCAAGGAGGCGCGGCTCAGATAATAATCAAGAGATCCGCGTGGCCGCATCCCCAATAGGCAACCCCCCAAGGTGGCTGCGGGGCAATCGCCAGGGGAGGTGGCATCTCTTACTGCCCGATCGCCGCCATCATCAACTGTGCGTGCAAGCCACCGATGGATGCAGTCAAGCAGGAGGAAGCGCGCTCAGCAAGGGCGACAGACGTCAACGCCGCGCCAAGACGTGGCGACGATGCCACCCATCAGAGGTCATACTGCAATGCGAAAGCAGCGGAACACCAACGGCGTGGACACGACGCAGATCTCAGACATCGTGATCTCTTCGCAACGCGAACCTCTGGAGATCTCGACGCCTTCCCCGAAAGGCCCGCTTTTCGGTCTGAGTCATTAGGCTGATAGTCCTGGGGCTTGGTGAGGGCTCCCAGAAGCCACGGTGGCAAAACCAAAGAGACGTTCGTCGTGATTGCTTCGCGACGTGGAGGAGGCGGAGGAGGAGGAGGCGGAGGAGGAGGAGGCGGAGAGAGGAGGAGGAGGAGGAGGAGAGGAGGAGGAGGAGGAGGAGGAGCCCCACTTTCTCCACCCTCCCGTCGCCGTCTTCCCACGCTTCCTTGTGGCGCGCCCCCGCTGCCCAGGGTGCCGAGCACCGTCACGCACCGCGGCGCGACCTCGGTGCCAATCGCCAGCAGACCGCCGACCACCAGCGCGCCTCGCCCCGCCCCCCCTCCGCAGGATTCAGAAAACGGGTTCTGGAGGAAGCTGGGGAGCAGAACAGCTACATCAACACAAACTGGCAGAGGTCTGGCGCCGACCAAGGAAATCTGCGCGGACCTCCGACATCTATATGAATATGATTTTTGTCGGCGGCGAGCGAGGGAGGGAAGTGAGAAGGAGAAGGCCTTCTCAGAAGGCGGAGGGGCTTCTCAGAAGCCCTCGCGCCTTCTGAGAGGCTTTCAACGTCTTTGGGTAAGGCTTAGGACACTAATCAGAAGGCAAGGCCTGAGGACTTCCAGGCCTTCTGAGAAGGCCCGCCCCATCTCACTTCCCCCCCACCCTGGCTCGCCGCCGAATTTGCCGCTGTCGGAGAAAGGGGTTCTGGAAAAGCTTCGCCCTGTTCGGACCCCAGGGACCGTCACGAGAGGGGTCGAGATGACGAGCTGGTCCTGGGGAAATCACCTAGATACGACATTTCCTCCATTCGAACCCCGCACGGACCGTGGGGCGACACAAATGGTCCGGCCGGACGGGGAGCTCGAGACCCGAAGAGCGCTCCCGCCGGCCGACACACTGGACACACCACCAGGGAGGGCGGGTGGGCAACGCCAGCCACGCTGGCACCAGTGTGGCGCTGCGGCCACACTGCGCGCCCACGCTTTCGCCAAGAGAATCGCTCAAGACCCCTCTCCTCCCTGTCGACCCCCGTGGCGGCCACCGTTGGCCACAAGCAGGGCCGGCAGAGGTTCAGCCGCAAGTCTCGCGGCGGGCCACGACTGTCCGAGCAGACGTCTCGCTTGATCGTTTCCTCTCCCTCCCCCTCGTCCTACTCCCCCTTCCCCCTACCGCTCCTCCTACTCCTCCTCCTCCTACTCCTCCTCCTCCTCGGCTGCCGTTTGAGGGCATCGAAACATAGACCAGCCTTTCGGAGTCTAGGATCGCATCCGAGGTAGTTCTTGCGCCCCAACCCGCTGGCCCTGGGGGCAGGGGGGACTGGGGAGCCGCCATGGCTGCTGATTACGGCGGCCACGTCGGCAGGCCGGGAGCGCCGCCAGGATTCGGCTTCGAACGGACCCAGATCAGAAGGCAGCAGCGAAAGCAATACAAGAAACGCTTGGAAGACGCAGTGAAATGCCTAGCGAATCAAATTCGAGAGCTGGCAGGCCAGTGTTTCAGCACGAGGAGCTACCAACGGCGAGCAGGCAGCAGCGAACTCACAAGCATTAGAGGGCAATGTATTGGACATGACGCAGCAAGAAGACTTGGCAGCAGAGGTTGAGGGAGAAGACACAGGATGCGATGACTCATATAACACTGCTGGTGCTCAAGATTTGCTTACGCACGCAATACCAGATATTCTGAAGATGGGGATGCCATCCAGCTGAACGTATCGAAATTGCAAACAGATGAGGATAGTGGGAGTCATTTTGGTTACACATATTTTGAAGAGTTGATTGGATCGATTCGCAAAGAAGATGTTTTGATCAAATTTCAGCATATCTTGGACGAGTTCCCTTATGGACTGGACGCCAATATCGAGGATGTGGGCAAAGATGGCCCGAGCAGCCTGCCAGTCGCCAACGAGTTTATCACAACGGTAATCGAACAATTGGAGGAAGTTGTGGGGCTGGCAGAGACGAGTCCAACTTTCGATCGATTGCTTGACCGAGTGTACGAAATCTTTATTTCAAGTGAAGAAACTCACATTTGCGGACATCATGTTGCGGCTTGGTCGCCGGTTTCAAAGCAAGACGTGCACGCAGCAATCAGAGAATGGATGGACGTTGGCGTTGAGCTGCAAGGTAATATCTATAGAACGGTTGCTTGATCACATAAACGTTCTCTCGACACTCGCACCGGTGGACGGCAATGGTTGTTGTATCCATGCTTAGCGTGTTTGTGCATAATCGGAGGTTGGGAAGTAAGATCGCAGTGAAACGGAGACCCCCCACCGGGAAATCGGTTTCGGTTTCGTGTTCGTGTCGTGCGTGCGGGCGAGGCGAAGCTGCGCGTGATCCTCCTGTAGCTAGGCCGAAGTAGGAGCGAAAGTCTGGGTGCCCAGCGGGCGGTGGCCGGTTGGCCGGGCGGTGTCCCGGGTGTCCCGCGTGTCCCGGGCGTCCTTTCCCGTCCGCCGGTGGCCGGTTGGGCCGGGCGGTGTCCCGGGTGTCCCGGGTGTCCCGGGCGTCCCAGTATCGATATTGAGATCGATGTGGTGCCCCGAGGTGTACTGAGGTGTTCCGTGGTGTCCCAAAAAGTGAGATCGATAGTGAGATCGATAATGAGATCGACAGGTGTCGCGTGGTGTCCTGTGGTGTCCTATGGTGTCCCGTTGAGTGAGATCGATAGTGAGACCGATAGTGAGATCGATGTGGTGCCCCGCGGTGTCCCGTGGTGGCCCGTGGTGTCCCGTTGAGTGAGATCGATAGTGAGATCGATGGTTAGATCGACAGGTGTCCCTCGGTGCCCCGTGGTGTCCTAAGGTGTCCCATTGTTGAGTGAGATCGATAATGAGATCGATACTGAGACCGATAATGAGATCGAGAAGTGTGCCGCGGTGTCCCGTGGTGGCCCGTGGTGTCCCGTGGTGTCCCGTTGAATGAGATCGATAGTGAGATCGACAGGTGTCCCGTGGTGTCCAGTTGAGTGAAACTGATAGTGAGATCGATAGTGAGATCGATGTGGTGCACCGAGGTGTCCTGAGGTGTCCCGTGGTGTCCCAAAAAGTGAGATCGATAATGAGATCGATGTGGTGTCCCGAGGTGTCCCGTGGTGTCCCGTTGAGTGAGATCGATAATGAGACCGATAGTGAGATCGAGGGGTGTCCCGCGGTGTCCCGTGGTGTCCCGTTGAGTGAGATCGATAGTGAGATCGATGGTGCGATCGACAAGTGTCCCGTGGTGTCCAGTTGAGTGAGACTGATAGTGAGATCAATTGAGTCAGATGTTGGTTCCCCCCCCTCTCTACCCCCACAACCTCGTTATCACCCGAAGGGTGGTCGTATAGGTACAGGTGCGTGATGTATGTTGCACTTCTTCGCGCACAGCGGGGCAGCCGACCACCGCCCAGCTGAAGCGGAGGCGGCCTTGCCCCACGCAGCCTCTCGGGCAGCTCATGTCCACGGCGTCGGTGGCTTGCATCCATATACCGCCCAGAGGTCAGCCAAGTGTTGCAAGCAGAGACACAGGACCCCCAAGGGCCTTATCCTTATCCTTATCCTCCTCCTTCTCCCTTCCGCTCCTGTTCCTCCTCCTCCTCCTCCTCCCGCCCTGTTCATACATGACCATCCTCCCCGCCCCCTCCATCATTTGTTGCTGTGGCTGCCTCCTTCTCCGACTCCTCCCTCCTCCCCCTCCCCGTCGTTTTCGTCATCATCCTCGTACTCATCCTCATCCCGCTCCTCGTGTGGTCCTCCTCCTCGGGCACGTCCCGGCGCTGGTCCTCAACTGAAGGCCTACTGCGCCTCGGGATGCCTCCCCCCCAGCGGGCACGACGAGCCTACATGGAACGGATCGAGAACTGAAATCGGCGTGTTCGGCCAACACTGTTCGCTGGGATTGGCATCGAACCGCAACTTGCACGCGGGTGCCTTTCGTTACGCAAGAAGCGTCAGGACCAACACGGCAGGGAGCGTAGGACAAAAGACGGCAGTCCGAGGCCTCGCTGTCGAAAATGTGAATCACAGAAGTAGGCACTCTGCAGAGGCTTCTGACTCGCCACGGCCGTGGAGGGCTGTTGCCTCTTCGGGTCTTCACTCGCGAACTCGACGCGCACCTCGACGCTGTCACCCTCGGCCACGTACGTTCCTTCCTCGGAGCCCGGTGCGTTCCCCAGAGGAGGATCCTCGCCACCTCCACGGTGTCTGTAGTGGTGTCCCAGGCGACGCGCCCATAATAACTGCATCGCCCCGCACATGGTCTAGAAGTCCATGGTGGACTATACGGAGTACGACATCATGGAGATGGCCGTGCAAGCTAGCCATGTAAGTGCTGTCGCGTGGCACCCATGACCGCATCCCATGCCGCCATGTAGCGTGCGCTGCTGCGCGAGCAGTGCCACCATTAGCCAAAAAGTCGTGGAGCCCGCTTCCAGCGCAATCAAAAAGACCAACAGAAAGAGCGGAGCACCGAGTAGCAATTCTGTCCTGCACCGTGGACCACCCCTGGCGATGGGGTGGGCCGCTTCTGGAGCAAGAAGGGAGGCGAGCGGTCGGGGGGGTGCTAAAGATGGCCCTGGCCCAAGATGCCCCCAGCTTTCCGCTCCTTTCTCGAGCCCCTGGGGCCCCTCTGGGCCTCGTGGGGCCTCGTGGGGCCTCCTTGGAAATGCGGGGGGCACCTTGGGCCAGGGGCACTTCTGGCAGCACATGAAATGGGCGCGCCAACGCTTTGCGGGCGGGTGGTAACAGGGGATGACCGAAAGGGGGGGGGGTGAAGAAAAGTGCCCTAAAGGGTAGGGCCCATTTTTGACCCCTACTGGCTCCAAAAGGGGCCTTCAAGAGCCCCTTTAGGGTCCTTTCCTTCACCCCCAAATTAGGTCACGCTCCATCACCCCTCGCCCGAGCTTCACCCCCCTACGCCGCTCAGGACCGCCGCGGCTGCGGGCCCCTGCTGTGTGGCAGCGTCTGCGGAGCCAACCCACGGGGCTTGCATCCCCAATTGGGCCGCTGGTCCACAAAACTCTGCACGGATTCACCGACACGGCCGTAAGACGGGCCGTGCGTGTGTGTGTGTGTGTGCGCTCGGGATTACAGTTTCTCTAGCACATTATTCATCGTTTGCAATTTACAATGTGCGACATCTCGTACACTGTGCCTTCGGCAATGATCGGTCGCAATTAGCACTTCCATCTGCTGCCCGCGCTTGAGGACCCTCTGCTCCGCTGGGTTAACACGAATGTGTGTACGCTCGTTTCGTCCTCCCTGTCTCCCCGCTATCCGCCAAAGAATGGCATGTGGCGCTGCCCCCCTTTCTGAGCCCAACGCGCGCAGGGCCCCGGCCGCTGCACTTGACTTTCTCCGCCTAGACGCCGCGCGCAAGGGCGCGACCGCCATAAAGCACCTCGCAGAACACGGGATTGCTGCCCATGTGTTTCGTCCAGATCGGCAAGCAGCACTGCGTGGAGACGGCTCGGCCGGCGCTAGACCTATAGATGGCGACAGTCGACCCTACGACTACCTTTATGAATAATTGCTAGCCTGGGATAGGGCGTGATGTACAATGCTGCTGTAGGGGCATCTATCCAGATTGTTAGCCTGGGCTTGGGCATGATGGCCCCTATTGCTGTCTCAGGTCTGGATGAAGACCTGCTAGGTTGGGCCAGGGCCCACAAGAGGGCGGAGGGGAAGGGCCAGAGCGGGGTGCGTTGGGACCAGAGAGGCGAGACCTCCCACCTGCCATCCTGGCGCGACCTTGGCCGCCGGAGCCAGGCAGCGGCGTGGGGCCAGGAGGGCGTCACTGTACACAGCTCCTGGCTTCCAGGGAGCAGTGGACCTCTGCAGACTTCGCCGCCCGAGGTCCCCTGCAGCTCCTCCCTCTCGCCGCTGCTGCTCCTCCTCCGTCTCTCGACCTGCTCTCCGGGGCTCCCACGGGCTGCCCCCGGACGCCCGGTCGGCCAGGCGACCACCCCCCCCCTCCCTTCCCCCTCTGTGTGCATGCGCGCCACGGCAGGACTCCCGACGATCCCTGTCTGCCGCCCCGCCCTCGAGGGCGGGGCGGCAGACAGGGATCGTCGGGACGATCGTGCCGCTGCTCCTGCTCCTCCCCGGCCCCGGCCCCGGTGCTGGGCCTTTCCAGCAGGCTCCCTGCTCCCACGCCCGAAGGAGGCCCTTCAGCACGAAGGGGAGAGGAGGGAGGGGGCGGGGGAAAGAGGGACTGGCAAGGCGCGCCCGCGCGCGCCACAGCGAGCTCGGACAGTCATTCCCTGCGCTCCCCCACGACTTGCTTTCCGATACGAGCCCGGCCGCGACAACGAAGGGGACCCGCGGCGGCCGGAGGCAACGCACAGGCCAGCGCGCAGGTCTGCACAGGCCAAATCCCACCAGCCCTCTGGGCAGAGGTGGTCTGGAGTGCTACATGTTCGAGCTCCATTCGAATCCCTCGTCTCTCCCCCTCCCCCTGGGTCGGGACGGGACGGCGGCGAGGTGTCCGAGGGTCGTCGTTTGGCCCGAGATGGCTCCAAGAGGGCCACTGAATCTCCAAGATGATCTCCAAGATGGCTCGAGATATCTCAGTCTAACTTTCATCATATTCCAGTAGGTCCCAACATCGCCCCCAAGACGGTTCCAAGTGGCCTCGGAACCTCCCCAGGAGGCCCCCAAGAAACCAACATCCTTCCAACACCTAAGAGACAAGAGACATCAGTTTGGTGTGCCTTCTCTGTGTTTGGTTTCGGATGGGGTGTCGAAGCCTCAAGATGGCTCCAAGATGACCCAAGAGAGCCCCAAGAGAGCCCCAAGAGAGGCCCAAGAGGGTCCGAAGACGGCCCAAGAGCGCCCCAAGAGAGCCCCAAAAGATAGGTTCAGGGGGTGCTCTCGACGGACGAGACTGTTAAGGAACCACTCTTTTTTGATCGATAACCTCCAAGATGGCCCCAACAGGGCGTGCAGCTCTCAACGTGCCCCAATAGAGCTCATGAGGGCTCGAAGATACCTCAAAGAGAACTCTATGGCCTACATGGATCCCAGAAGGCCCAAAACAGCCCCAAGGGCCTTCACAACTGGCCCATCGGGGCTCCAATAGGGCCCAGGTAAGCTGCCCAGAGGCTCCCGTCTCGAAAAATCACGGAACAAATGTATGGTTGACTCCTGGGCCTGCTTAGGCAAATCTTATTATGCTGTTTGACGGCTGCCCCCCTTTCTGCTCCACTGCATGCTCTCGCTCTTCCCTGATCAATGCAACTCGCCTGGGCACTGTTGCTGGAAGGGCTTGTGGGGATATTTTTTTTAAACAGCCGCGGGCGGCAGCGCCAGCGGCGGCGGGTAACGGTCGGGCTGCGGCCGCTACAAATTGGCCGGGGGCGCGCGCGTGCCGCGGCCGGCGCCGGGCGGCGGGTGCAAGAGTGCTGCTGCCCAGGGAGTCTGATGGGGACCCAGCACCCAGGGAGAAGTAATTACGCTGCCAAAATGGCGCGATGCAAGACCCCCACCGTGTCAAAGGCTACAGAACAAATGCGGTCTGAGACACTAACTGAACAGGAAGAAGTCCCCAACCTCGGTGGCTTGTGGGGATACGCGAGGCGCAAAGAATTTCCGCCCAGAACTGCGACCCGTGAGGACGAGTGGCACGCCCGCAACGGAAAAGCTTACACCTTCACAGCCTACCGTGGAGGCACCAAGGTTCGATCACATCCAGCAACGCTCTGGACCACTCAAAACAATGCCTGCGTTGGGTTGCGACCAACCGCCCAATCAGAGTCTCGTGCATCCGCTGATTTCTGGCTGCGCCTAGCCCGACGCAACATGCGAAGGAGGGAAAGCAAGAAGGAAGCGCTCTAGCACTGTCTGGCACGTTCGGAGAAAAGACCCGGTCCCCACCGGGCGGACAACCAGTGGGGCCAGCGCACGACGCTGTGGCGGCGCTGGCCGGGTTGCCGTCGAAGGGGTCCCGGGGCACCTGCATGTCGAGGCTGTCCTGCTGCAGAAGGGGGGAAAGGACGGAATGAGGGAGAGGCGTTGTCGGGGGGTGTCAGGAAGGTGTGACAGGGGTGGGGGAGGGAGAGGGGGATGGGGAGGCAGAGAAGGTGGGGAAGACGGTATACGATGTATTCGGAACTTTACATGTTTATGTGAACTCTTGCTTCGGCGTAATTCGCGAAATGTCAAATGCGCTGCTTGTAGAAAACAAGACCTTACTAAACTACACATGAATTTTGCTGAATCGACTGCCATCGCCATCAATACGCTGCGTACATGTTCAAACATTCACCCGATGCTTGGTTCGGGGACGAATCGTCCTCTATCGGTTTGCACGAATCGGGTATGCTTTTGGAATCTAGCATTGACAGCCAAGCCTTGGCGTTGATGCAACGTCACGCATTATGTAACAATTGAGCTCGCCTGGGCATTGAGCGCCATGTCACTTACAGGTGGCTAAATGGCCAAAGCTCGGCCATGCCCGTCATACGATCGATGAGAGACTCATTTCCAAATTTACAGTGTTAGCCAGCGTGGACCCAAATCAGTTTTTCTAGCAGTGTGTGTTGTGCAATGTATGTGGAACAGTCTGCGTCGTGGACTATATGTGGTGCAGTGAACGTTGTGCAAAATAGGTGGTGCAATATCTGTTGTGCAATCTGTGGTGCAACATATGCTGTGCGATCTACGTGGGGCAATCTACGTGGTGCGATACATGCTGTGCAACGTATGTTGTAATGACACTCTGGGTGGTGCAATCTATGGTGTGCAATTGATTTTTACCCATGACGTGACACATCCCATGCTCTTGCAAACATCCCACCCACCCACCCACAACTTGGTTTGCAAAACCTCTTAAGATCGTGACGGTAGGTTCCAAATGGCACTTGGCAAGGACACCGACGCCGACGACGACGACGACGCCGACGACGACGTCTCCGACGACTTTGATGACGACGACACCGACGCCGACGCCGACGCCGACGACAACACCGACGACGAAGACGCCGACGCCGACGACGACGACAACGGCGACGACGACGACGTCGACGACGCCAACGACGACGACGTCGACATCGACGACGACGACGGCGGCGACGACGACGACGCCGACGTCGACGACGACGAAGACGACGACGACGCCGACGCCGACGACGACGACGTCGCCAACGAAGACGACGACGACGAGCGAGGAGGGAGGACGACGACGGCGAAAACGACGACAACGACGAGGGAGGAGGGAGGACGGCGACGACTCGAACGACGAAGAAGGAGGCAGGACGGCGACGCCGACGACGACAATGACGAGGGAGGAGGGAAGACGACGACGACGACGACGACGACGGCGACGAAATAGGAGGGACGACGACGAGACGACGACGACGGACGACGACGACGACGAGGGAGGAGGAGAAAGGACGACCACGGCGACAACGACGACGGAAGCGACCACGACGCCAAAGAGGAACACGACGACGAACACGAGGAAAGACAGAGGACGCCGTAGGTGACAGCGACGACAACGACGCGGGAGGAGGGAGGACGGCGACGGCGACGACGACGACGACGCAAGAGCGCGCGCGCACGATTTTGTTGAAAATCCGTGTTGCGAAACCTTGTGTGTTTGTAGGTTTTTTGGATACACGATATTGAAATCCTTCCGATTCCGAAACCGGTGGGTTTTGAAGGATTTCGGCATACGCGCGCGACGACGCGCGCGTCTGCACTTCGTCCCAGTTTTTGCAGAGGATTCTCGCGACGGCACACGCGCAAGGGCGTTCGACAGATTTCGACATGCGCTCGCGAAACCCGTTTGGTAGCATTTTGTGAAAATCTTGAAAAACCTATGGTTTTCTTAAGATTTCGCAAAAGCTCGCGCGTAAGTTGTTCTAGCAAACCAGTGTTGCGAAACCATGTGTGTTTGTATGTTTTGTGGGAACTCGATTGCGAAATCCATCCGACACCGAAGGTTTTTGGAAGATTTCGGCATGCTCGCGCGACGACGCGCGCGTGCGCACTTCGTCAATTTTTTTGCAAGGGATTCGCGGAAAAGCCGTATGTTAGAACAAACAATGTCCCCGCGCATCGTTGTTTAAAAGGGAACCTCAGGGGGGTCGATACCGGTTCCCCTGGGATGCTGCAAATTCATATTTAGGATGGACATGTGGTCATAATCGTATATGATTTACATACCCGAAAATGGGGGCGAATAACGCCGGGGGGGTAGAGTCTATTCTCTTTTTAGAAAGGAGACTTCACTTTGACTGTCTTGAAGCTGTCCTCTCCACTGCTCCCTCCCACGGGCAACTTGGTCGCAAGACCTCTTAAGACCGTGACGGTAAGTACCAAATTGCACATGGCAACGACACCGACGCCGGCGACGACAGAGACAACGACGACGACGACGACGCCGCCGACACCGACTACGACGTCACCGACGACGTCTCCCACGACTTCCATGACGACGACGACAACGACGACAACGACGAAAACGACGACAACGGCGAAGCCGCCAACGAAGACGACGACGACGAGGGAGGAGGGAAGACGACGACGACGACGACGGCGACGAAATAAGAGGGACGACGACGAGACGCCGACGACAGACAATGATGTCGAGGGAGGAGGAAGGACGACCACGGCGACGACGACGACGGAAACGACCACGACGCCAAAGAGGACGACGACGACGAGGAAACAGAGAGCGACGACGGTGACGACGACGACAACGACGAGGGAGGAGGGAGGACGGCGACGACGACGACGCAAGCGCGAACGCGCACGCTTATGTTGAAAACCCGCGTTGCAAGACCAAGTGTTTTATATGTTATCTTGACGCTCGATTTTGACATCGTTCCGAAACCAAAGGTTTTTGAAAGATTCGGCATGCGCGCGCGACGACGCACGCGCGCGCACTTCGTCACATTTCTTGCAGAGGATTCTCGCGACGGCACGCGCGCAAGGGTTCGAACAATTTCGACATGCGCACGCGCGAAGCCCGGCATGCGCGCGCGCAGCGGCCAGGTAGTTTGGCGCGACCGACGATGCCGCGGTGGTGCTGACCGCTCGGCACATTCCAGCGGGCACTTGAATGCGAGTCGGCGGCTGGGGCGGGCGCGGTATCATGGTAACGTCGGCACTTGTAGACACGATGACGATGATAGTGGCGATGCTGGTGACGACATTTCTAAACACGATGATGATGATAGTGGTGATGACGGCGCCTGTGCCGATCGCGCCGACGACGATGACGGCGTCTTCGGGTCGGTGATGAAGGTTTTGGGCGGAATTCGAAATGCGAGCGCGGCAGACGCGCGAGAGTGGCTCGCATGGTATTAGTTGACACGGATTGCGCCACCCAGCACGCGAGCAAGGGCGTTCGAACGATTTCGACATGCGCGCGCGAAGCCCGTTTGGTAGCACTTTATGGAAATGTTGGGGAACTTATGGCTTCTTAAGAATTCGCAAGAGCGCGCGAGCATTCTTTTCTTGAACACCCGTGCTGCGAAACCATGCGTTGTTGTATGTTGCTTGGACACTCGGTTTTGACATCCTTGCGAAACCGATGGATGTTTGAAGGATCTCGGCATGCGCGCGCGACGACGCGCTCGTGCGCACTTCGTCCCGTTGTTTGCAAAGGGATTTCGCGACGGCACGCGCGCAAGGGCGTTCGAACGATTTCGACATGCGCGCGCGAAGCCTGTTTGGTAGTATGCTTTCGAAGCTGTTGCAAAACATATGGCTTCCTGAAGACTTCGCAAGAAAGCGCATGCGTTTCTTGAACATCCGTGTTGCCAAAACCCTGTGCGTTTGTATGTTTGTTTGGACGCTCGACTTTGAAATCCTTTCGAAACCGATGGTGTTTTGAAGGATCTTGGCATGCGCGCGCGACGACGCACGCGCGTGTACACTTCGTCCCATGTGTTGCAAGGGATTCGAAAAAAAATTACGATTATTGATCAACGAGTGCGCGCGCATTGTATGTTTTGCAATGTTTGGCGGGGGGACCGATACCAGCTTGGCTGGGGTAGTATGAATCCACAAGTAGGATGGACATTGGGTCAAAATCATACTTGTTTTACATCGGTTCCCAGGGGGGGGGGGGCAAGTCCGGGGGGGGAGGGTGGTAGAACATATCTCCTTCTTTATGTCGTGAAATATGCGTGGTTCATTAAATGCTGTGCTATATTATATAAACAATATAAATCGTGCGAACAAGGCGACAGCAAGTCGGCAGCAAGGACACTCCAAAATCGACTCAGAGGCCCAAGACGACAGCACCGCGGCGGCAAGGATGCAGATTTGCACAAGCGTTGGTTGGCGCGTCGCAGTAAGACGACGGCGACGCGACATGAAGGATACGAAGTTGCGCACGCGCAAGCAGGTTGCACGTTTTTGTTTGCCGCTGTCAGGACGACAGATGACATCGTACAACTGCCTCAGAAGCTCAAAACAGCAACAATGCTGCCACAAGGAAAAGGATTTGCGCAAGCGCGAACGGGCGCGCCGCTGTTCGCCACAGGGCGACAAGAACACGGCAACAAGGATGCTGAGTTGCGCATGCGCGAGCACGCTTTATCACAATATTCCTTGGACACATGCAAGAAACACAGGAAAGTCAAGACGACTCCAAATCGACGCCGACACACAATCGAGCTGCGGGTTTCCCGCCCCGCCCAGGATTATTGGGAACCAGATGTACTATGGGTGGTTACTGTATATCCCGAACTACAACTGTATTACTTGCACGCATCAGGCGAGCGGAATCCCGACCAGACCACGCAAGACGAGTGCCTCGCTAGTCTTCTCGGGGGGGAAGGGGGGTTCAATGCCAACTGATCCCCCGTCCCCTCAGGGCTGCCGTCGCGGTGAGCTCGTGTCTGTGCGCTCACAACAATCCAAAGAACTCCCGAAACGGCGACGTATGTTGTACAAGATCTGTGGGGCAATTTCTGCGGTGCAATCTACGCGGTGCAATTTATGTTGTGCAATATAGGTTGTGCAATCTATGTGACACAGTCTACATGATTGAATGTATGTTTTGCAATTTAGACGGTGCATCTATCAACGAGGCGGCGACGGGGCGGCGATGGCGACCACGGAGCCGCCAGACCTCCACGCAAGCCCAGACGACGGGCGCGACGAGGCGGCGACGGGGCGGCGACGGCGGCCACGGAGCCGCCAGACCTCCACGCAGGCCCAGACGACAGGCGCGACGAGGCGGCGACGGGGCGGCGACGGGGGCCACGGAGCCGCCAGACCTCCACGCAGGCCCAGACGACGGGCGGCGACGAGGCGGCGAAGGGGCGGCGACGGCGGCCGCGGAGCCGCCAGACCTCCACGCAGGCCCCGACGACGGGCGGCGACGAGACGGCGACGGCGACCGCGGAGCCGCCAGGCCGCGAAGCAAGCCCAGCTCTTTATGACAAACACACGCGCCGATCCGGCGTGTGAGTTTCTGAGAGCGTGGGCTTGAGCTTCCTCAAGCTTGGCTCTGTCGGGGGGGTCTGACGCCATGGCTGACGCCATTCAGGCCCGGGAAGGGGGAAGGGGGGCGGGGAGCTCGCTCAAACTTCGCTCTGTCGGCGGGGGGGGGACGCCATGGCTGACTCCATTCAGGCCTTCAGGCTCGGGAGGAGAGAGTCGGAGAGGGGGGGGCTGACGCCATGGCTGACGCCATTCAGGCCCGGGAGGGGGGAGGGGGGGGAGCTCGCTCAAGCTTCGCTCTGTTGGAGGGGAGGGGGCTGACGCCATAGCTGACGCCATTCAGGCCTGGGAGGGGGGAGGTGGGGGGAGACTCAAGCCCGGGAGAAGAGAGTCGGGGGGTGGGGGACGCCATGGCTGACGCCAATCAGGCCCAGGAAGGGGGAGAGGGGGGGGGAAGCTCGCTCAAGCTTCGCTCTGTCAGGGGGGGCGGGGGGGGCTGACGCCATAGCTGACGCCATTCAGGCCCAGGAGGGGGGATGGGGGGGATAGGGTTTTTGTATTTATTGGTGACTCTTGCTGTTCACGGCTCTGAAACTGGTAAAGCCGCCAAGAAGCCTTTGAAAAAAACGCCCCGCTAGAAAGACGGATGGCGCTCAGCGCGTCCACTTACTTGTTGATCAGCACGTTCAACGCGGGCTCCGAATTCTCGGCCTCCTTGCCCTTGAAGCCGCCGGTCTTGATCGGCTTCGCGTTCGGGTCGGTGGTAGTGCCGTATGGCGTGTTGTACTTCAGCGCGGCGTTCTTCAGGACGGCCCCGTAGAAGACGATGCAGAAGGCGCAGAAGCCCCAGGCCAAGGGGCTGATGCCGTAGAACACGTCGAAGTACTCCTTGCCGTTGTAGGTGAACGCGTGCGCCGGGTCGGCCGCGCCCAGGGCCAGCACGCTTGCCGCAGCCACTGCCTCGCCGCGCAGCCCCTGCGGGGCCGGCAGGAAGGCCCGGGTGCCCCGCAGGACGGCGCAGCAGACCGCGAGCACGCACGCGGTCGCGGTGGCGGAGCGCACCATATTTGTGGAGCGGCGGGGGCAAGCTGCGGGAGTCGGCGGGTGTTCTGTCTCGAACCGGGGCGGCCCCTGAGCCAAAATGGCTACGGCAGGGAGGGGGGGATGGGGTGACGCCATGGCTGACGCCATTCAGGCCCGGGAGGGGGGAGTCGGGGGTGAGGGGGGGGAGGGCTGACGCCATAACTGACGCAATTCAGGCCCGGGAGGAGGAAGGGGGGGCGAGCTCGCTCAAGCTTCACCCTGTTGGGTGGGGGGGGGCTGACGCCATGGCTGACGCCATTCAGGCTCGGGAGAGGAGAGGGGGGCGGGGGGAGGGCCGACGCCATGGCTGACGCCATTCATGCCCGAAGAGGGTTCCAAGACGGCCCAAGAAGAGCCCAAGACGGCCCAAGAAGCCCCAAGAAGGCCCCCGAGAGATTCAAAAACTTCCTCCAGCGCGCCCCCGAGAAGCCTCCAGGATGCCTCCAAAAAGCCCCCCGAGAAGCCACCCCAAAGGTGTCATACGTCAGCTACGTCAACATCCCAAGAGTTTAGCTGTTCACGCGAGATCTTCACTTTCGAATATCCGAAGGTTGCCCAAGCGAGCTCAACATCTCTATTATTATGAGGAATGTATCGAGCGACTGCTCGACCTGAAAACATAAAAAGTCATTCGTTGACAACAGATTTGGTAGCACCCTGGATCGGCGGCACTGGCCGGAGGCCACTACAATAAAAACCTCTAAGTGCAAGCGCTGTTGGGTAATTGGAAATGGTTCCTTTTGTAGTTTCACTGTGGTAACGACTGAAGACCGCACGAAGGGGGAACCCGAACACCGCCCCGATCCCCTCCCCAAAGAACGTAATATGAATTCCCTGTCTTCCCTGGTATGTTATAAAACTCATTTGCTTTGCGCTCCCGAGGCCACAACCCCCCATAACGTACTGCGGGCTCTCGCTCCACAAACCAAACCCCTTGGTAAATTGCGCCAGCTTCGCACCCCCGCGGCTGCACCCGCACGTACGTTGTAACAAGTTTGCCTTCCCGAAACCACAACCCGTTGTAAATTCTCGAAGTCGGGGTGTTCTGGGAGTCCCCTCGGCCGCACAGACCGTATCGAAAGTACACTTCAGATGACCAAAGAAACGTATGACCTTGTAGCATCGATGGATCTGTATATAGTGCAGCTCTGCATACACGTCCACACGTACATGCATAATCGCAAGCATGCGCACACGGATGCTACTGACGGGGAAAAGGGGTCCTCGCCGCCTAATTATCGCCACCCGCTTCCTTATCCATCTCTTCAGCATGCTCTTCCCGCTGCTGCGGCCGTCCGATTCACCATCCTCCTCTTCCTCCTCTTGCCGCTACAGATGCTCCTCCTCATCCTCTCCTCTTCCTCCCCCTTGACCCGCTTCGTGCATTGTTTTTCGTCGTTGCCTTGTCATGCCTTTTCGGCGACCCGACGTTCCAAGACGGCCCACGAGGTCCCCGCCCCCCCCCTGTCGACAAGAAATATAGTTTTGTATACCGTTGTGGCTTGCTTTGTGGGCTTGATTTCAGGTTTTGCTACGTGGTTCTGGTTATGGCGTAACGGACTGCGGTTTGATGCAAGCCATATTAGGTGTTGGATGTGGCGGCTGCGGTGGTGGAAGCGGAGGCCCACCATCACCGCCACGCCCATTACCAAGTGGCGATGGAAAGGTATTGGCGGTGGTATTGACGGTGGATGTGCTGGCGGTGGAAGCAACACTAAAACATATTACCCACCATATGCTGATGGGGGTCGTACTCACAACCGTCGACAACAATTGTGCCGCCCCCAGTGACCTTGAAAGGGCGCGGGGGAGTCGGCGGAGTCGTATCAAAAGCGGTGGTAGAAACAGCCGTGGAAGTATTAACGGGGCTTGGCGGACGTGGCGGTAGTGGTGATTGGAGATCGCCTCCAGCGCCACCGCGACCATCGCCTGCCAAAGGCACTGCTGGGTGCGGGATAGGAAGGATGGAGGAGGGGGGCACTGGTGGTGGCAGAAAGGGTGGTGGCGGCACAGACAACGGACGCGTTCGCAGACGTTGGTAGCGTGACGGTGGCGATTGGAAAGGAGGCGCCCCGACCACGACCACAACCACCGCGGCAATCCCCATGCGCACAAAAGTCGGTGATGTGATGTAGGTGATGGCGGTGGCGGCGATGATGAAACCAGCCGCGCACCGTAGTAATATAACTTGGTGGTGGTGGTGGCACTAGGAGCACCGCCACCACCACAACCATCACCCTCACCACCGCCGCCACCCCCTTACGCTGAACGTGTGGTGGTGGCAACGGAGTAGTGGTGATGGCGAAGTGGTTGCGGTGCTGGAAGCGAGGGTGGCGGCAGGTAGTTGCGCCGTCAGTAAAGGCACTCGTGGGCTTGAGTCGCATACACCATCGCATTCACTGGTGCGGCCGCCAGCCTTGACCAAGAAAGGGTAGTGGCGTTGGCGGGTGGGCAGGATGGTGGCGGTGCATGATGTAGCTGGGGCGGTATTGACAACAGCCGAAACTTTCGCAACTGCACAGCTTTACAAACATCCCCTGATCACTCTTTCTGCTAGCCACCCACTTCCCTCGATGGAGATGCTGGTGGTCGTGGAATTGGGTCGCACCCACCACCACAACCACCACCACCACCCCCTTTACTCAGAAAGGGTATTGGTGGTGGTGGGGTCGGATGTGCAGTGGTGTAGGCAATTGTGCTGGCGGTGGTTGCATCCGCCCCATTAGGTGTCGACAGATGTTGGTGTTGGTGGTGCTGGAAAGGGTTGCAAAGCCGCCACCATCCTCATTCCTGACCCAGATCTGGTAGCGTCGGGGGCGGTGAAGCACCGCTGGTGGTGCAATGGTTCTGGCGACAGCGGTGGTGTAACACCATTGCTAACAAGCGTTGTAGAAAATGGTGTTCGGCGGTCGTGAAGATACTAGTTCGTAGACTGTGGAGGTCTCGGTGGTGGCATTGGGGACGCCTCCGCCAACGCCGCCAGCATCACCATCGCCACCATCACACTGGCCCAGAAAAGGTGGTGGCGGTGGCGGTGTAGTCTTGGTTGTGGAGTAGCGCTGGCGGTGGACGCGTAGTGACATCTGCTGCCGCATGAGTAAGGTAGGAAGGGCCGAACCCACGACCACATCCACCACCACCAGCCCCTTGGCCAGAGAAAAATAGAGGCGGCGGCCAAAAAGAAATACTGTTGTGGGGAATTGAACACATTTTCCGTCAATGGAAGAATATACAACTTTTGCCAACAAAAGATTCGCTGTTACATAAAACCCCTTTCCTGTAGAGGGTTTAAGGTACTTCCGCTTTGCGACGGGTTTCAATCGAAATATGTTTGTCGGGGGTTTCAATGCTGGTCCTTGTGCAAGAGGGGTTCAACAGGATTCCTGTTGTAGAAGGTTTCGGTCGGATTTCTGTTGTGAATGAGTTTCACGGCCTTTCCTTTTGTAGAGATGTCAATGGGATTCCTTATGGCTGCGGATTGCAATGGGGCGCTGTTTGCCAGGGTTTCAATCACACTCCGTTTGTAAGCGATTTCAATAAGAATACTTTTTTGTCGAGGGTTTTACGAAGATTCCTTTTGTATTCCAAACAGATTACGTGTGCAAGAGATTTCAATACGTCTCAATTAGAAAAGATTTCAATCGGAACCCGTTTGTTGACTCGTTTTGTCGAGGGTTTCACTCGAACTCCTTGTGTAGAGGATTACAGAAGGATCCCTTTGTAGGGGACTTCAATAAACTTTTGTAAATGATGTCATTCGGATTTCTTGTCTGTGTACGAGTTCAACACAATTTCTTTTGTGGTGGGCCTCATCATGAAGTCTACCAGAATCGTTGTTCCCACGTTTTTGCAATGTATATCGAGACCTGTAGATTATGTTCTTGATGAAAACCGCTCGATACCCTCTGAAAACGCACGCAAGCCGAAATCATTTGATTCCAAAACTCCGAAGGAGTCACAAACGAAACCTGTTTTCTCGGTAATCAAAAAAACTGGGCGAAATGTTTTTTCTTAATGTGGGGACACAGATTCGATTGGAGTCCTGATGATGAAGGTTCTTTTGGTAGAAGGTTTTTTTTTTTTTTAAAAAACAGGTTCCTTGTGTTGCGGATTTCGATAGGGTTCCTTGTGTCGCATGTTTCAATAACGTTTCTTGTGTGAAAGCTTTCAATATGATTCCTTTCTTGTGTGGAAGCTTTCAATATGATTCCTTTTGTCAAAAAGTCAATGAGATTCCTTGTGAAATCATGTTATATTTGTCGAGGGTTTCAATGGAATTCCTACGGACAAGATTTCAAGTTAATTCCTCTTGCTAAGAATTTCAATCAGTTTCATGTTGTACAAAACTTCAATACGTCTCCTTTGTCGAAGATTAACACGTGTTTCCTTGAGTCGAGGGTTTCAACCGGATTCTTTTTGCAAAAGATTGGTTATACATTGTTTCCTTGTGTGGTGGATTTACACGTTGATTCCTTTTGTGGCGGGTGTACACGCTCATTTTTTGCAGCGCGTTTACACATTGATTTCTTTTGTGGCTAATTTACATGTTGAGTATTCTTGTGGCGGGTCCGCAATATAAGCCTTTCGCCGGTGGATTCGTTGTGCGGCGATACGTTTACGACGGCGTCGACGACCAGAAGGGGCCCCACCCACATGTTGAACTTGTTCCCCCAGAGGGGACTCCCATAACACCCAGTTCTCAAATTACTACCGTAGCACCTCGAAGGTACAGATAAGGGTGAGGGGGCGACGTGGACGTCTGCAGTTATATCTCTATATATAGATGTATATATATACACTAGAACCATCGCGCGCTTCGCGCGCGCTCAGGTTCTAGCAGGTCCCAAACCTTGACGACTTCATTGCTCCACTGAAGTAGTGGACCACAGTCCACGCATGACAATCTGCATTCCGAAAGACCTTCGAGGAAACTGGTTGTGTACGGGGGCGGGGGCCGTATGAATCGGGTTCCCAGAAGGCCT